GGGGGGTGTCCCCGCATGCCCCTAGCACTGCCAGGCCTCTCCCCCAGCACTGGGACCCCCATGTGGGACCTCATCTGCCCCACATCCCCCTCCCACTGAACTCCCCCTCCCTGTCTTTCCCAGCCCAGCTCCCCTCCCCCTGCTCGCCAACCAGAAAAGCTGCTGGTTTCATTTCTTTTTAATGTAATTTCAACTGGAGTTGCCATGGAAACCAGGCATAGGGCCTGAATCGCCTCCAGGCATTGCAGGCAGCAGAGCCAGGGCTGAGGCCGCAAGCCGGGGGGCCGCGGGGCAGGTGGGAGACAGGCAGGGGGGCTGCAGGGGGGCCGGGGGGGCTCTGCCCCGCTCTCCCAGGGGCCCCTTGCAGCTGCAGTACCACCGGCACATGTCACTCTGCTCAGCACCATGCTCCAACTCCTGTGCCGGACCTCCCCCATGGCCCCTAGTGCTGCCCAGTGTGGGGGTCCCACAGCCCCTGCCAGCCTATGCCTTGTGTCCTGGAGCTGCAGCACATGGCAGGCAGTGTGGGCATGGCCTGGGGGCACTAGCCTGGGATGGTGGCAGGCCCCTCACCATGGGGCAGATGGAGAGGGTGGGGAAAGTGCCGGAGGCAGGCAGCATGCCGTACCATGCTGTGCTGTGCCGCCAAAGGCAGGGGTGCTGCGGAGTGCCTGAGATGGGTAGCAGCAGAGCCAAGCTGCGATGGGACTCCCATGGGGTGATGGGACGCCCACCCAGGGCATGGGGCTGCTTCCCCCAGGCTTTTCCATGCTGACAGGCAGAGCTGGTCCCTGGTCTGGTCTCCGTGCAGGGGGAAGGCTGCCCACCCTGAACCCTGACCTGCAGCCCCATCCAGCACTGCCTCAACTGCTGGCCCCTCTGGTCTGACCCAGGCAGCCCCAGGACCGTGTGAGAGGAACCAAGATGAAAAACCTGTATCAGGCCACCGGGCTGGGTTTCCATGGAAATACGGGTGCTACACAGCACAGCTCTAACTGCAGCCAACTTGCTGAGGTGCGAGCAGACTGCCCAGTGCCTAGTGCCCTTTTGAAGGGGAGATGCCTTTATGTCCCAGAACAGGGGCTTGCCCTGCACTTTTGTCCCCCCTCCTCATCTTTGCAAGGCCCCAGCTGCCAGCTGTCCCCATGTGCCAGTACAGCCACCCCAGCTAGGACCCCAAGGGCAAGCTGGTGACAGACAAACACTACTGCCTTTGCAAAACTCCTGAGCCTGCCATCTGTCCAGGGTGTCCTTGACCATCAACAGCATTTCTTTGGAGATCTGGCAAAGCCCAGGGGACACTGTGTCCTGGAGGGTACGTGCTTTTAACATCTGTGTGACGACAGTGGGACATCCTCAGCTTCAGGGGACATGTTTAGGGCTGCTGGCAAAGAGAAGCGTGAGGGAACTGAACCGCAAAGGTGTCCCTGGCATGGGGAGGGGATGAGTGACCTGCGCCTGGCCCCTGCCTGCTCCAGGAGCCACAGCCAGCAATAAGGATGCTGCTCTGCCCAGCAGCATCACCAGGACGGTGTTCTGGTCCTAGTCCCCACACCCCTGATGTGTCCAGGACACAGGACAGCAGACCCACAGGCAGGCAGGGCAAGCCATTATGCTGAGTGCTGCAACTCCCTCTGCCCTGTGCTGCAGTGGCACAAAGGATTTCTGTGCTCACCGGCTGCCAATGCCCTTCCTGGCAGAGCTGACTCAAACCAGAGGGTTTTGTCTCTCTGAGGGCAGCAGCCTGGATCCAGGGATGCCTGTGCTGCCATCAGCCTGAGCCTAGAAGCTCAATCCAGGCTGGCAGAGAGGCTGGGGGCAGGATGGCAGGGGAGAGAGGACTCTGAGAGCCTGTTCTGCAGCACACTTTTCCTCCTGGCAGCAGAGGTGTTTCAGCAACGGTTGGAGCTTGATTTCCTCCATTGTACCAACACAGGCTGCTGGGCTGTGACATCTCTAACCTCAGCAAGGTGCCAGCAGCTGTGTCACCCCCATCCCTCCATCCAGATGTTGCCCTGCCCATCTCTTCAGCTTGTCTGCATTCAACATACCCTCGAGCTCTTCGTTGCAACTTCAGACACCAAGTTAGTTAACATGATTAACAAAGAGCCCATTTCTGGTCCACGTGGTCGTGGACAGGGCAGTTTTCTGAGCACTGGAGGCAGCGCTGGCCCCGGCTGCTTCGTACAGCCTGTCCTTTACCGCTGGCTTTTGCACAACAGTTTTGCCTACTGCGAACGGGCGGCGGTGCCCGGAGGCCGGGCACGGCGGTCAGCGGCAGCGCCGCACAGGCGAGGGTGCTGCCCGCGCTCCCGCCCATCCCCGGGCCTCCTGGGCCTCCCGTCACCTCCCGGTGAGGACACCGGGCGGGCACCGGCCTGGACAGCAACGGCCCGGGTTCCTCCTCCCTCCTTCCTGTTTTTTTCTTCATTTCTATTACATTTTTAGGCGGATTCCCACGCATTGAGCCCCCGCCCCGGGGGCTGCCGCTGGCGGGGGCGGCCCCGGCGCCCCCCGGCCCGGCCC